ATTAAACAGGATAGTCCCATCTTTCTGACTAACAACTTTACATGATTTTTGATTAAAGATTATATCATAACCGTTATCACTTAATTGACTTATGGATAACAAATTATGCATCAATCCATCTACTAGCAGAACATTATTAATAGAAGGAATATTTCCATTACCTACAGTTCCAGAGCCAATTATCTTTCCCCTCTGATTGCCTCCAAAGCCAACGTGGCCTCCAGGCTTAAGTTCCAGGCTTTGGAACATATGCCTTCTTCCCGTCATGTGTCGTGAGCAGCCAGAGTCCAGGTACCATGACTGGTGTTTCTGACTTGCTGCTAAAGATATCTGCAACATGTATTATTTTATCCTTAGGTACCCAGATTTTCTTGGGTCCTGATTTGTTAGTTTTACCAAAACTCTGGTTGAATTTTGGTTTCACAGAGTGCTTACTGCTAGTGTATTTAATATCATGTGTGTGACCATATACAAAATGTGAATTCAGAGGAGTGTGTTTAATGGTTAAGTCCATGACATTCTTTGGTGTAGGAACCTTACCTTGGTATCCTATTCCTTTCCTGCCGTTTCTGCTAACTCCATAGATCATTGAAGCCATTCTGCTTCTATCTATGCTTTTAGCTAGGAACTTCTGGAAACTGTGATCATACTCCTTGATGATCTCATCAGCGTTGCTGGGAGTTTCAGAAATTGGTTCCTTCTGAGAGTTTTGTAAAGTGTTTTCTAATTTTGAAATCTTATTTCTCAGCTCAGAATTTTCCAATTTGAGACTCTCAGTCTTATTAGAGTCAAATTCAAGATTCCTTTTCAGGTCTCTGAATTTAGCTCTAATTTGCTGATAACGTTCCAGAATCTCATTAAGGCTTTCAGCAAGTTCAGCCTTTGTAAAGTTAACAGCAAAGTTAGGAAATACCTCTTCAGTATCTGATTCTGAGTCTGATTCAGAAGCTTCACTATCTTCTGAGATGTTAGCCATGAGAGCTATGTTTGCCCTCTCATCATCTGATTCTGAGTCAGCTTCAGACGAGTCAGAGTCATCCCATGTAGCCATGAGACTTTTCTTCTTCTCTCTTCCAAACTTCTTTTTGGGCTTTTCCCTCTGAAGCTTTGGGCAGTCACTCTTATAGTGTCCTTGCTCATTGCACTCATAGCAGATGATGTCCTTGGTGTTTGGCTTTTTGCTACTGGAGGAGCCTTCAGATCTTCTGTATCCAGAGGAAGAATCTGTCCTTCTGTATCTGGAAGAAGACTCGTTCTGATCAGATCTTCTGGGAATCCTGAATATCCTTTGTCTTTGCTTCCACAGTTGATTTACTCTTCTGGAAAGGAGAGAGAGTTCGTCTTCTTCTGATGAGGATCCATCAGATGTTTCTTCAACTGCCTGCAAAACTTTAGATTCAAATTTTTTGTTAGATTTTAATGCTAAAGGCTTACCTTGCTTCTGAGGCTCATCAGCTTCTAGCTCTATCTCATGACTTCTGAGGGAGCTGATAACTTCCTCCAGAGTGATTTTGTTGAGATCTTTAGCTAGCTTCAGAGCTGTAACCATTGGTCTCCACTGCTTGGGTAAACTTCTGATGATTTTCTTGACATGGTCAGCAGTAGAGTATCCTTTGTCCAGAACTTTGAGACCAGCTACCAGAATCTGGAATCTAGAGAACATGGTTTCAATGGATTCAGATTCTTCCATTTTGAACGCCTCATACTTCTGAATGAGCGCCAGAGCTTTTGTTTCTTTGACCTGAACGTTGCCCTCATGCGTCATTCTGAGTGAGTCAAAAATATTCTTTGCTGTGTCTCTGTTGGAGATCTTTTCATACTCAGTATAGGAGATGGCGCTGAGGAGAATGGTTATGGCCTTGTGGTGATTCTTGAAGTCACGCTTTTGTTGGTCAGACATTGTTTTTCTATCAATCTTCTGACCGCTTGCATTCACAGGGTGCGTGTATCCATCTGTCACCATATCCCACAGATCAGCATCATGTGCTAGAAAGAAGCTTTCAATTCTGTCTTTCCAGTAATCAAAGTTTTCTCCATCAAAGACTGGAGGTTTGCCGCTGAATCTGTCTCTGTCCTCATTGTTGTCATTGCTGGTGTGAGAATAGTTTCCTGCCATAGTGTTTTTCTGACGCTGGATCTTGTACTGACACGGTTAAGTGTTTTAGCTCAGAACCAGGCGCTCTGATGCCAATTGAAGTGGTGAAAAACACAAGAAGGGGGGGTTGAATTGTAAAACCGAAATCTAATGCAATGAACAAGATATTTTTATCCTGGTTCGTTTGATCTCAAACTACTCCAGTCCACCCGTCAAGGTGATTTCGCCTCTCTCCAACGAGGTCTTAATCCACTATATTCAACTGAATATTACAAACTGCTTTAACAACTGCTAAAGCCTTCTTGATCCAAACCACAACCCGGTTTGTCAAGGTAACACTTTCTTACAAAGAGATAAAACTAAGTGTGTGGATGTTTTCTACAAAACTTTATCACAACTGTGATGTATACACAAATTGAAGCTTAGAAACTGGATTGCTAAACAATGATAGAATATCAGAGTGTGTGGTTTAGCAAAACTGAGAGAAAGAAGATTATAATTAGCTTTTGTGCGTGTAGAGATTTGGAGAGCATTAGCCATTTCAATCTTCAAAGTCTTGTTTATATAGCACTGAGATGATGAACGTTGGATGCAATATTCTTGATTCAATGCTAATAACAAGCTTTCCTTATTGAGCAGATCTTGTCTGGAATGAGGCCGTTGGAATTAATTTGCTTTCAATGCACAGTACCGTTGCTTACTTAATGCAAGTTCTGGCTTGGCTCATTCTGACTCTGCTTCGCTGCTGATGAACTGTTGTGTTTCTTTATCAGAGTGTTGAGCGCAGTCTTGTTCATCAGGCTTCAGCATGTACGTGAGTTGATCATCTGATTTTGACATTCTGATGCTGGTGTCTGAAATCAAGTTCTGATGCTGAATAGATGTGATCTTGCTTATATCAATCAGAGTATCTGCAAGTCAGAACATAATAATTTTAGACAGCAGATATTTCATACATGAAACTTATAAATACTATATCTTTTCACTTTGTTATCATCAAAACTTAAATATAGGGTAGTAGATTCAAACTTTGTTCTAACAGAAGGTGCCAAAAGTGTGAATTGCAAAGCTATCAAAACTCACTCATTCTTTGCGTTTTAGGTGTTAAATATCTTCTGAAAGGTTGCTAAATAAGTTTAGACATGTGAATGACTCTTAATTTGGCTTAACAGACGAGTTCAAGTGATTACAAAATATGATCATGGAGCAAATTTCAGTTTCAAATCACCAACTTCAAAATCACGGGGCTTCATGTACAAGGGACTTTATGAACTCATTCTTTTTGTGTTTGAAAAATATTTCCTTAAGCTTCACAATATGCTAAAAAAGTATTCATTTGGACTTTTGAGAAAAAAGTTATGATGTGTTGAAGTTGGCTAACAACAAGCACATTTAACTTAGAAAAATTTCAAGTCCATAAGGATTTAAAAATGACCTATAATGTCTCCTTTAATTCAATGACCTTCCAAGCATTTTTTAGGTCTTGATCCTTGAATCAAACTTGTAGAAAGCAACTTCAAGACCATGGTAGAGAAATAATGAGCTTCAAATAATGAAAATTGATCAAGTTATGATCCTTGAACGTTGGACAAAAATTAGGTCAAAATCTCCAAAGTGACCTCTAATTTAATCAAACTTTTGATGATCCTCCAAGCATAAATATGTGAAACTTGGTCTCTTAGTTTTCTGAATGATGTCAAAAATATGAGAATATAGCATTTCTATAGTTGGAAGTCATCTATGAGTTTAGTGTTGCATCCTTGTCATTTAGAAGTCTTAGGTTGTTTGAAAATCATTTAAGATCATTTTAATGTTGAACCAAACCATTAAAAAAATAAGTTTTGTATGAATTTTCGTTGCATGTGTCAACACATTCGTTTTCAGATCGACACATGTAACTCTTTTTTGAAGCCTATAGCCTCTGCAAGTATCAGGTAGACACATGTATTGCATAGCTTGACACATACTGAAGTATTTCTGAAATTGCAAAAATTCTTATTTTATGTGTCGACACATCCTTTTTTCAAGTCGACACATTTACTAATGTTTTAAAGTCTGTAGCCTCTGTCTTGGTTCAGTCGACACATTGTCTTGCACAGGTCAATACATACAACATAAAAATAACGTATGTGTCGACACATACGATACATAGGTCAAATGCCTCGAATGAAGGCATAATTAAGCAGACTTGTATCCATGATCCCGTCAGATTTCACATGTATTCTACCTATGAATTTGTTAGGACTCCAAAACAGAAAATCAGGAATTTTTCAAAAACAAAAGAAAAGAAAAGAAAAGGAAAGGAAATGAATCAATAAGTAAAAGAGAATGGGAATGGAAAAAGCAACTGCATTAAGACTAGAATTGAATAGAGCACCCTAAACCAGAACCTATGGGAAGAATATCCCTTCCCAACTCCGTAACAAACTTATCCATGCCTTCTCTACCTAACACTCGTTACCTATTAATTCTATCATTCTCTATAACTAACTACTTTCAGCCAACCCTTCCTCGCTCACTACCTCACTAGTCATTTCTTCTTTCTAGAATATAATTTCCATATTTTAGGGGTTCCATACATTGGTGTATGTGTTGCCATGACTAATAAATTCATCCTCTTGGTCTCGATGAGTATTGATTCATTGAAATAAATGTAAAACATCAAGATATTTCTATTGCTAAAGGTATTAGCTAGAGGTGTAATACGCTTAGTACAAATGTAGCCCAACACTTCTAAGACAACAACATAAGATAATACTCTACCAACAACAAAAACAATAAAAACATATATCTTTTTCCCATTAGATGAAGCAACTACATCAATAACGAAAAGATGAAATAATGTTGAAACATAAATTCAAAATGATATTGTAGAAATAGAAATGCATCTTACCTATTTTTAGTCTCATAGTAGACCTCTCATAATCATTTCATGAAGAAGTTTCTCAGCTTTATCATTTTCATCATATTCAAATAGGGAAATAATAATGATTTCATAAGTTGGAGCATTTGGAATGCAACCAATGTCGTTAATTTTTGATAGCATGGTCAACGCTTCATCAAAAAAGCCATTGATACAAAATCCATGGATCATAATGATTTATATATGGACATCAAGACTGTAGTCTTTGACCAAAAGTTCTTCAAAAACCTTTTGTGCATCCTTTAGTCTTCCACCTTTACACAATCCATCATTAAGAATAGAGTATGTTTACACATAAGGTTGGATACCTTTACCTTTAAATCCTTTAAATAATGCAATTGCCTTATCAACTTGATGGTTTTTTCATAAAGCATCCAATATAGAATTGTACGTGATTATATCAGGTAGTTGACCTCTATCGCACATCTCAACGACAAGCTCCAAGGCATTTGAAATTCTTACCAATTTGCACAAGCCATCAATAAGGGAACTATAAGTTATCGTATCAGGAATGATTTTTCTACAATGCATTTCTTTGAAGAGACTTATAGCTTTGTCTACCATTTTAATCTTACAAAATCCGTTTATCATGATAGTGTAGGTCCAAACATTAGGAGTTACTCCTCTTTTAACTATAGTCTTGAATATATCATTTACCTTGTTCACTTCATTTACAAGACAATATCCATCCATTAAAGAATTATAGGTAACAACGTCGGGTTTAATGCCTTCTTTAACCATCAGAGCTAACACATTTTGCACTTCTTTCACCTTTCCTTCCTTACAAAAAGCATCAACCAATATATTAAAAGTATACACATTTGGGTTGATGTTTTCCAATGTCATTTTGTTAAATAAATCAATTGCTTATTTTAAGTTACCAACAATGCAAAAGCCACTAATTAAAGCATTGTAAGTGACAACATCGGGAGAAATTTTCTTAGCAACCATTTCAGAATAAAAATCATATGCATCGTGAACAAGTTTATCTTTTCACAAACCGTCAATGATTGTATTATATATTACCACACTAGGATGAACCAATTTCCCATCAACTCGTCTCAGCAATTGTAGTGTATCTCTTGTTTGTCCGGCTTTGCATAAACCATTGACCAAGGTTCCATAACTAAGTTGGTTCAACTAATATCTATGTGCTAGGACGTTGTCATGAAATTGCAAGGCTTGATGGAGGTGACCTTTGAGACAGAGACCCTTGATGATTGTAGTCAAAGTTATGGCATTTGGGCGATAACCCCTCTTGAGAATCTTTTCCAATATAGAAAAAGAAAAAGTAATATGACCCAAATGACAGAGAGAATTCATGAGAGTGTTATAAGTTACAAAATCAGGAGTAACTCTAGTCAATTCCATTTGGTGAGAAAGGGAAACAACAATAGAGTAAAGTTTGTCTTTGACAAGAGAACCTAATATCTTGCCAAATTCAATGGCAGGTGGGGTGGGTTTGTTACGGAGCATTCGATTGAACAAGGAAACAACATCAACAACATCATCATTGAAATGTTGGAGAGAGTGAGAGCATGATGTGGAATTGGAAATGGAAACAGAAACAACATACCTTAAAAACGACATGGTTGTCTTGTCGCTTGACACACTGAACAAATTGTGTACTGTGTTGGAATTGAAATGTTGAATTGGGATTGAAATGATGAAGTGAAAGAATAACCTGCGATCTGTAGAACACTTGAATCAAACTTTTTTTATTTGCTTTGAATATCTACACTCAGTTTGAGGATGTTAAAAGAAAAGAAGCAACTTTAATCGGTAGTGTAGTGTAGTGGCAACTAAGTCAATACATGTATGCTCCTCTACCTCTCGTGTATTGTGTTACATCAAACAAGCCCCTAGTCAAGGCCTGTTTTTCCCTGCATCTTCTCAATTAGATTACTAGTTAGACATATAAAAGTTAATTAGCTCATTGTATTGTATAAAAACACTTTTCTGTCATTTCAATGAATCAAAAGCTTATTTTCAATCGTTCTCACAATCATGTTATTTCTCTTCAAGTGCGCTTGTCTTTGCCTTCGTCTCTTTTTTGCGTTTTCGAAAACTGAGATTTGTCTCCTTATTTTCTTCTTCTCCTCTTCCTCTTTGTGTTTCAACTTTCCTCAATCAAACAAAATAGAACTGCAATTATGTATGGGTGTGTCAAAGTTTCATCACTAAAAATTATACTAAATTAAAAATATTAAAACATAATTCCACCTAAACTGTCACATAGAAAGTTAACATTTTTTTCAATATTTAACATAAATATTCGTTTATTAAATAATAGATTAAAGTAAAACTTTAAATTAAATTTAAAGACGAAAAGATACATTAAACCATTATTTTTAAAATATTTATATTATATAATTTAATTAGATGCTTGTTTAAAAAAGTAGTACTAAATAAATTTGAATAAAATCATAAATTAAACTAAAAATTAATGGGAACTTTGTCATCTTTCCAATTAAAAAAGATTTGCATGTCTCATATGATTCATAATCAAAAGAGTCCAAGAGTCCATCTTTATGGAGTTTGGAAACGCGTTTCTCATTTATGTGGCCTAAGCGACAGTGCCAAAGGTAGCTTGGATTTAACTCATTAGGTTTAATCCGTTTAGTATTAATGTTATAAATTGGCATTTCAAGATCAAGGACATATAGTCCATTGTTCATTTGTGCAGAAGCATAGAATATATCATTCAAATAAATAGAGCAACAATTGTTCTTTATTATAAATGAAAAACCAAACTTGTCCAAACAAGAAACGGAAATAATATTCCTACTAATTGCAGGTACATAATAATAGTTCTCTAACTGAATTATTAAACCACTAGGTAAAGTCAAAACATAAGTTCCTACGGCTAAAGCATCAACCTTTGCTCCATTTCCAACTCGTAGGTCAACTTCACCTTTTGCCAAATCTCTACTCCTTTTTAGCCTCTGCACATTAGTACAAATGTGAGAACCACATCCAGTATCTAATACCCATGATGCAGAAGTAGATAAATTAATTTCAATAACAAAAATACCTGAATTTGAAGTCCCTACTCCATTGTTCTTATCTTCCAGGTACTTTGGGCAGTTTCTCTTCCAATGTCCGGTCTTACCGCAATGGAAGCAAGTGCCCTCCTTTGCTATGCCTCCACCAGGCTTCAAAGCAGGAACAATAGGTTTAGGCTTGGCAAATTCCTTGCCTTTCCCTTTACCAACCTGCTTGGTAGGCCTCTTGTTCAGCTTCTTTCCATTACTGACCATCAGAATGGACTTCCCTTTTGTCTTCATATTCTGCTCAGCAGTTTTCAACATGCTTAGCAATTCTGGAAGACTCTTATCCATGTCATTCATGTTGAAATTCATGACAAACTAATTAAAGCTATCTGGCAATGATTGCAAGATAAAATCAGTTGCAAGTTCCTTTCCAAGCGGAAACCCTAACCTTTCAAGGTTCTCCACATACCCAATCATTTTGAGTACATGGGGACCTACAGGGTTTCCCTCAGATAACTTGCTGTTAAAAAGGGCCTTTGAAACCTGAAACCTCTCATTTCTTGCCTGCTCTTGATAGAGCATTTTCAGATGTCCGATCATATCGAACGCTGACATGTTCTCGTGTTGCTTTTGCAACTCCGAGTTCATAGTAGCTAGCATGAGACAAGCGGCTTCGTTAGCATCATCAACATGCTTCTTATAAGCATCTCTTTCTGCCTTAGGTGCCGAACTAGGCGGTTCCTCTTCAGGAACAGGTGTCTCCAAGACATACAGCTTCTTATCGTGCTTGAGGACAATCCTCAGATTTCGGTGCCAATCCAGGAAATTTGTCCCAGACAATTTTTCCTTATCTAGGATTGATCGCAAAATATGGTTGTTTGTTGTCATGGTAATCTACAAAAAAATGAAAATATAAGTATCATTAAAACAACATATTTAATTAGGCCTTTAATCAAATATGCTCCCACTGTTTTACTCAAACCAAATGACCCTCATCATTTGATTCGGAAAATCCCGTTGGAAGACTTTCTAGTGGGTCGAGATCCACATTTCACTTCGTTCTAAGTCAGCGTTAGGCTGATTACACAAAACTAGGTTATTTAGGTAGGAACTCCTTCCAATTGTATCTCATACAACTCTCGAATATTTTCAGTTGGGTGAATAACTCCTTATTCTAATTCATCATATGAATCATTCCCAACTCTTGCTTCTAAACATGTATAATCTTATTATAATGTGTTTAGTTAAGTTTGACCCATTGTTTTAGCAGTTGGATATTACAATTATCCCATCGCACCTTACTAATATAGAACATGCACCTCGCATAGGCGAAACCTACATTGTTCGATACTAGTCTTGATGAGTGCTAAAACTTGGAAAGCATGAACTTAATATTTAACTTAAGGGATTTTGTTATTAGTTTGATCTCACCGGCTTAACATGCAATTCGTCTCTCTCATGCATCAACATATAAACACATGCATCAATATACATAAAAGGATACAATTATGGCCCCTAGCGCAATTGTTCTCCAAGCCAATGAGAGAACCTAAGCTAACCTAATAACAATCTAAACTTCTCCAAGCAAGATCTCCAAGGTTATCCTCCTTTGATATTATATTCTTCTCTTTCTTCATAGTATTACATTACATAAAAGAAACTCGTTTTACATACGAGGGAGTGAGATGAGAAAAGAAGTTACATCAAGAATTTTAGAGAGAGGCACGACACGCAGGCCGTATTTTACAATCCCAAAACAAAATAAAGGAAAAAACTAAGGCCATAACTGATCACCACAAGACAATAATAATAAACACACTTTTATTATTAGTTTAAATTTTGTTAATTAAAAAAAGACAAATTAAATTTCGACGATTGATCACACTACGCAGAGTTAGCCGGGGGTTCCGCTGCCCGGTCAGCGAACGGTGGTTCCGCTGACCGTTCAGCGGACGGGGGTCAAGGGGGCAGCGCCCCTTTGCGGGGTTGTCAGGGGCAGCGCCCCGGCGCAAAATTTTAATGAACAATTCATTTGAAATCGGCGTCATTTTCGCACAACTCTTGTGCATTCACAACGCTAATCGCATAACTCTGCAACAACACAACCCTTGTGCCGTCATGAACCCTAATGCAACCGTTTCATGCTGTCAAACACATTTCGATTGATAATTCAGTATGATTAATCACATGCCATTGCTTCACCATACTAATGTCGGATTCCGAAGCATATGAACAGTGATCGGTCAAAGGAATAACAATCATCAAGTGTTTGAATGAACGAAACAGAAACAGTATATCCCATATACCATCGTTGCATCAGATTTACTTATATCATATATAAAAGTGATCGATCTTATTTGTGTAACCTATGGACGATCGATGTATCACTGCTTCACCATACTAATGTCGGATTCCGAAGCATAGTCAACATCAATCATCCAAATCGTACACAACAAATGCCAAATTTAATTACTCGTTTATTATTCAATTCATTCTGGTTTTAATCGAATCAAAACAGAAAATATAGAACATAAACAACTATCAGATCCATGGTTTCGTAAGTGGCTCTGATACCACTGAAGGAAAATTGCGATCAAAAGCGCATCGAAATTTAAAATTTTCCTTTAGCGATCCTTACGAATGAGCATGGTCAGTGATAGAAATATTTACCTCTTGTGGCGATTCAGACCTTTAATGTTGTGATCACGAGCGTTGATGAAGAACAACGCCTCTACTCAGTCCACACGAACAGATCGCTTCCGGTCACAGTGCTAGCTGATCACGAATGGAAACCTTGAGTGAGAGAGAGAATCAAAAACGAAATTGCATCAAGTGAAATTGCTTCATCACAAGGGATCTATTTATAGAATCACTCGTGTGGGCTACAAGCTAAAAGCCCAATTAAGGCTATAAGCTAAAAGCCCAATTAAGCTTATGGACATCATACCTTATGATGTACCATATATCACTTATCCACGTGGTACCTTACCACTTTCCGTATTACACTTAAGTGCACCGTACCTTACGGTATTCCTTATTTATTCTATCTCTCATCAACCTGTCCTTATGTGTGTGACCTTGTAGGTTTTCGCGACGTTGGCAATTATATTAAATCAGACATTTAATATAATAAACAGTGAGCGGTATCTAGCAACACATCACTGTTACCCAAGTCACGAAAATGTCATGTGATCTGACCAAACCTTTTCCGTGATAATATTTGTGTTGTACAATTACCCTTTTTCCCTCATGTCTATATTGAACACAAGGCATACACTGTGTCACCCTTGTCCAGTTCAATATTGGGCCCTTAGACATTTATCCTGTTATGCAAGATGATCAAATTCCATCTAGGTCACTCATGTCCCTTAGCATGCTTTGTGAAGTACCCATCAACCGTCTTTATAGTCATCCAGTTACGGATGACGTTTGATCAGCAATAAAGTACTTGACTCTACATCTAGGGTCCATAGTGGTTTCAGGTTGAAGGGTGGTATACACCATTATCATCATGAGAATAACTTATGACACTTTGCATAACATTCTATGTAGTATTCTTATAACGGGTCAATCCAGTATAAATATTACTCCTAATAT